CAACTGTATGTAGGTTTTACGTAAAACTTCCTTTTAACTGTTTTCAACTCGACCTCTATGTCCAAAATTAAATCCTTGTAAAACTTCTCTACTGTAATCTTAGGTACACCCCAACTTTGTTGTTTCTGTTAACCATATCTATAAATTGATGAATTTTATAGCAAAACAGGTTACAGAAATTTATTTGTTAACATTATATATGTACTGTTGAATCATAAATTATTCAACAGTACAAACAATATTGTACTGTTGAATCATTTATGACTCACAAACTAAAAATTTCTGATCTAAATATTATTGTTTAACAATTCTTGTTACCGAAATTTGAGTATTAAATAAATTTCAACATATAAAGTAATGCAACACACCTTTGAAGGAATTCTTGTAAGATAGAGAACGTAAATCAGTATTACAATTCCCAACCAAGTACCAAGAAAAATCGTAATAAACAGTTCGAATGTTAAGGAATGAGTAACTAACACAAACAGAAAGATGACACTTATCACCGGTAATATAATAATTATAAATATCAAGTGTAAATTTTGGAAAATTTTATCTATTTCATTTATAAATATGAAAACGCACGCAATTTCATTGAGTGCAGTTGCGCTTTCTATCGAAACATGCCTTTTTATTTTTGTTGTTATATCTTCAACATACGTTTCTAATAAACGAACACTTAGGTAAGTAAGTATGCTTAGAAAACCGCAGCCATGACAGATTACATTACTTAAGAGAAAAGAACCTATAGCAACATGAAACACGCAGAAACATTCTCTATAAATGTGTCTATTATAACTATAATAATTTCTGACGTATATATATATAGACCAGGTACGCCAACAGAAGCCAATATAGTCAAGAAAGTAAATTAAGACATAATATAATCCTGATATCTTAATAAACCAGAGATCATTCGACGTGAGCATTTTATATTTCGACTGATTTTGACTATAATTGTTTTGATGAAAGAGGCGTTTACATTGTACAGAATCGAAAATATTGGCGATAAAAGTGATATAAGACTGATGTTATAGCGAATGTTCCTTCCAAATATGTTCCAAAATTGAGGAACGCCACAAAATTCGGAAAATTTATCAAATTTGATAAAGTAAATTGATATATCTTCTGCTACGATGAATAAGATTAAGGTCATTAAGAAGAAGTAAGTATGAAAGTATAAGATTATAATCCATAAGAGATCTTTTCTTGAATTTAAGAATATTCCGAAAATCTGTAAGACTAATGTAAGGTTGAATTGCATGGAAAAGAGAATGCTCCATATTTGGTGTTTCGATAACTAACACGGGATTTAGAAATTGCTGGTTTATTATAAGACACTATTATGGTTCTGCTTGTTTGGCATTATGCTTAAAAGAATTTTTTTAATATATGAAAAATCGATGACTAATTGAATACATCAGACCTATGTATTGAAACAATTATCTTGAAGGACAAAGAGAACATTCTTGTTGCTAGAGCTATAATTATGTTTACCCATTAACTAATTTCATTCTCAAAGATTTTCTTAATGGATTTAATTTTAAAATGAAAATTCTTTCGTGAACATGAAATTTTAGACAAACATTTTAAAATAGATGTTTTGAATGATCTGATCGATATTGAAAACTGATATTCAATGTTAATTTCCGTTCGACTTAGAGGGTGGCATTAACGAAAGTTTCCCTATTTAGAGCACTTGGTAGCTTAACGAATAAGCATCTTTCTAAACAAAAAACAGTATTCATTCGGAATATTTAAAGAATAGGAAAGAAAATTTCGCAAAACGATTATCTCGTTGGATCATTTTTCTTCAAGAATTCGATTTTGATATCATGCATAAGACAGGAAACTTTCATAAAAATGCCAACGTACTTAGTCGTATTCTAATCCGACAAATAAAAGACGTTGAACCTATTTTCTTTATGACTCAATTAGCCAACTCTCAGCTACGTGATGAGCGATGGAGCTATTTTATACAAGCCTTAAAAGACGGAGAAACCGTTAGGAACCTATAATAACCTTAATCTAGAAGAATTTTACTTTAATGAAGAGGGAAAACTTTGCCATAAAGGAAAAAATAAAAGACATAAGAATTGGTGGAAACAAATCGTCGTACCTTCAAACCGCAAGGAATATATCCTATTTACCTTTCATGACAATCTATTAGCTGGACATTCGGAAGAACTAAAAATGAGAAGCAAGATCGCTAAATCATTCTATTGGCCGGAAATGATGAAGGAGATTCGAAATTATTGTCAAAGTTGTCAAAGCTGTGCGAAGCACCGACGACGAAGATGACGAGCACAAGCTAAATTACAATTATTTGCTTCTCTTTCTCACGTGTTTGAACAAACCGCCATGGACATTGTCGGTCCATTTCCTATTACTACTAATTTAAACAAATATATCGTAGTGTTCGTTGATCACTTCAGTCGGTATGCGGAAGCCGTCCCGCTACCTGACGTCAGCAGCAAGACAATTGCGAAAGCATTCGTCAATTTTACGTATTGTCGGCGTTGAGTGACGTATTACGTCACTCAACGCCGACTCAATTACTAACGGACACAGCTCCGAACTTAATCTCTAAAATATTTATAGAAGTGTGTAAACTGCTACTAATCAAGAGACTCCTCACAACAGCCCATCATCCTGCCTGTAATGGTGTCATCGAAAGATTCAATAAAACCTTAATAGACATTTTATCTAATTATGTGTCTAAAGACCAACGAGATTGGAACGAGTGGATCCCCTATGCATTGCTTGCGCATTGTCTATGCATTGTCAGTACATATATTTAGAAATGAAAGTCCTTTTTATCTTTTATATGGAAGAAACCCAACCTATCCATTTGACAAATCGTACGAATACTATTTTTATTTTGGAAATATAAAGTACTTTAAAGTAATGATATCAAGTATCAACCAATTACAACAATCTACTACAGTTTTACTCTTCTGGTTTTAACTTTAGCAAATTCGTTAATAAGTGATGTGTAGGCGGAAGTAGGCATAGCTGTCAAACAGTTGTGAATCATAGACTTTGTAATCTTATGTTAATCGCATCTATCCTATATAATCTAGAGATATGTGCATTTAACTCTGTGTAGCCTCCTGTATTTTAGTGTTAGCCGTATAATAAATACTTTGTTATTCTTTTAAACCTGTCTCCTGTCTCTAAGAGGACGCCTGCCGACTTTCTCACGTTCCTCGTCACTCGATAAAAAGCCATCCGAGCGACAACGTGGACGAGTATTAATTAACAACCCGACGTGTAAGTGGCAATTAGGGTACTGAGCCTGTGCCCTCGTAATCTCACTTTCTTAAGGAGTGTTTTCATCATTCACTGTGTTCTGTAGACTGATTTGAACGATCATTCACTGTGTACTATAGACTCATTTGAAGGCCGCTTTTGTAAATTTAGATTGCCAAAAGTAACGGCTGGTGGCCGTCAATACCACGGTAAGAATAGGCTCATATTAAACATTTTGAGAATGCTGTAAGGTTTAACAGCGGACCCCATATTATGTAGATTATGACGGTGGACGCTTTCTTTTTGTGGAAAAGATATAAATCAGTGTTGTCAGGAGTAAGAGTGAACGGCGTACATGATTAAATGAACTCAGAGACATACTGAACTGTAGGGATTCTTGTAATTCATTGTATTGTGTTTTTCATCCCTTGTCTAATAATTTCTAGCTGCCTCGTATGATAAGCTGTTTAAAATTTAAAACTTTGTCTTTCGAAGAAGAAAATAAGGTGTTTTTTGTATCAATCAATATAAACTTCGGGTGAGATATCGAATTCCCCGTTTTATTGTTTTTTCTCTTTTCTTTGGTAATATTTCCCGTGTATCCTATATCTTATTACTTTGTTCAGGCTATATTTTTTTTGTATTCTTTTTTTAATTTTTCGTACAGTGGGGCAAGTTTTACATTTACTTTGTTAAAATCTTTATTTATTTTTTCAAAGAAACCTTTGATATAAGGGAAAGCTACATATTTTATGTTGGCGCCCTTGTTTCTATGTTTGTTCTGTTGATGTTTGTTGTTTCTTTTACTTTCTCATTTTTGTATTATTCTATTGGGATAACCATTTAATTTAACTTTCTTTTAATTCTTTGGCTATTGGCTAGGATAAGACAACCGGAACATCTTTCATACTATGTATTCTGATAATTTTAATAATTATGAGCTTCATACAAGAATTTCTAACGACAAATTTTCTAATTATAGTGGAAAATTATATAATTTTTGTATGGGTAATGAATATATTTGTTAAAATGGTATTCTCATCCGTGACAAATATGGAGAGTTTACCTTTGTTTCTTAAAATGGAGCTACTATTATTGATTTTACATTGGTTTCGAATATTTTTTTTTCTTCGGAAAAATTGCTGATTTTCGAGTTTTGCCAATGATATGGTCTGAACATTTTTCTATTTTACATATTTAAATAGCAGCATAGTGATTCCTGAGAAACCTCTTTACCTCTCAGCACTTGAAATTTCAGCTCTTTACCTCTCAGCACTTCAAAAATAAAATATAATAATAATCATTTTTATACATATTATGTAAATCTGAAATTAATAGAGTTTAATTTCAATTACTAGATTACATATTATAGATAATTCATTAGATACCTTTATACAAAATAACACAAAATAAAATACACAAAATTAATATTTTGATAAAATAATTATATCTTTCCAGAACTTAAATCTTATTAAATACTTTTTTTTATTCGTTTCAAATTTGATTCAGTGAAAGAACACATTTCCAAGTTTCATACGTTTGCAAACTACAGTTATTACAAGTTTTCTCAGAGTTTATTATTAGTCTACTGTTAAAAAATATTAATCTCTCGATCCGAGATTAATGGGCAATTCATAATCCTTAAACCGCGGCGGATTATGGATTATGGCAACGGATTATGCAAAATGAAACCATATTATAAAATTTTCAAATCGATATAATTTNGTTTTCTCAGAGTTTATTAGTCTACTGTTAACAAATATTAATCTCTCGATCCGAGATTAATGGGCAATTCATAATCCTTAAACCGCGGCGGATTATGGATTATGGCAACGGATTATGCAAAATGAAACCATATTATAAAATTTTCAAATCGATATAATTTACTTCGGATCCGTCAGTTGCGAAGTGTTTGCTGTTCAGTAAATGTTTACATTTAAGTCAGATTTTGAATCATTAATTCAATCTATCGGTGCCATTGGCAGAAAGACAGACTACGGTCTGTCCAAAACCATTTAGAGATTTCAGAGTTTCGAAAAAATTAAGTTGTTTTCAATACCTGAAATTCGGAATTCAAATATGGTTAACAATTTTTATTAATTTTAGACGTTTCGAATGATAATAACAGAAAAGTATTTTACCCGAAAGCAAATTCCTTAGTTATTATGAAATCCAGAACTTCTACTCCCAATTGCCTGCATCCCAATCTCTTGAGAAAGCACAAAAGCTGTAAATATTAAGATTTATTTAGTGTTTCAGATTTACTCAGTACTTAATAATATTGCCAAGTAAAGTAAAGTTTTATGTTGAATTGTCTCTTACCTGCAGTTTCTCCGTTAATGGTAAATTCATAAAGTTAAAGTACCTGGTCTCTTCCAGACATTTCCTAGCCTAAAACCAGTAAAATAGAATCTTATAACTCATTTCTAAACTTCCAAAATACTGTAACAATCATGAAATAATACTTTAATAAATTTTCTATCTCTAAAATCTTTTGAAACTACTTATCGATGTACAGTACTTTGTACAGTTTAAATTGTTATTTAATAATATAGATTGATTTAAACACGCTAATGTGTATATATGCGAGAGAATTGTGTAATTAATTATAATCTAAAATATTATCATTTTCTAAACGAAAAATATTAAATTTGTGTGATTAATATATACGCCACGATACAAACGTATTAATTCTATCGTTGCAATTAAATTGAATTAAAATTAAATGCCATTAATCATATTTAGTAAATTACTAACTCAAACTTATGCCAAAAGGAATTCTAGTATTAATATATTTTACATGTACTGTACTTGCTGTTGTGGAAAATTTCGGNTTCCAAAATACTGTAACAATCATGAAATAATACTTTAATAAATTTTCTATCCGTAAAATCTTTTGAAACTACTTATCGATGTACAGTACTTTGTACAGTTTAAATTGTTATTTAATAATATAGATTGATTTAAACACGCTAATGTGTATATATGCGAGAGAATTGTGTAATTAATTATAATCTAAAATATTATCATTTTCTAAACGAAAAATATTAAATTTGTGTGATTAATATATACGCCACGATACAAACGTATTAATTCTATCGTTGCAATTAAATTGAATTAAAATTAAATGCCATTAATCATATTTAGTAAATTACTAACTCAAACTTATGCCAAAAGGAATTCTAGTATTAATATATTTTACATGTACTGTACTTGCTGTTGTGGAAAATTTCGGCAAGACCCATCTGATGCAAATTCTTCTAAGAATTATTTATACTTCAGTTGTCGAATACTGCTGTGCCTTTTAATTCCGTTTCGTTATTATTCTTAGTGAATGTGAGATGGGAAACAAAATGTGTAGAATTTTTTCGTATTTACTTACGTAAGATGCTAAAATCTCATTCGAGTAATTCGTATTCAGTATTGCTAATAACCAATTATAATATATACTGCATTGTGAACGAGTTACTAATATGGATATAATTGAAAATACTTAAAAATATATTAAAATCTAAATCACTTATCATATTATCATCCCATCTCAATTATAATACAAACAGGACGATCAATGGCTTATATAAGTAGATATATCTACTTATATAAGCCATTGATCCTGCTGTTTGTATATTTGTAATCTGTAATGGAATGCCTAGAACGCCCACTAGGGACATCCTGGGATACTATAGAATTTTTAATCTTTTAATTTAATTTAATTTTTTTATTTTTAAATCGGGAGATGTAAAATAAAATATAATTCCATTTTACATTTGCCGATGCAAAAAGAAAACAAAACCCTCAACCAAAAGAGAAAAATTCGTAAACATTTCCAGTTAGTTGATGTCAAATATTATTATTCATATGATGATCGCTGACCTAAGCTAAATTCATCGGCCCTTGATAGTTTGGGCATCGTCTTATAGGGAAGATATGTGCTAAAACTGTAAAACTTCGACGAAAATTTATACCTCGTCATATCTGCCGAATGTACGGTAATTAAAGTTTTAAATAAACTGAATCAACTAAATTTTCATATTAGATTATTTAGAAAACAATTATTATTCGAAAAATTGACCGTGTTTTAATTTAAACTAGCTGCAAGTACTCGCTTTGCTGAGTTTTTATTTGTTCGTACATTTATAAGTAATATAATATAATATAATATAATATAATATATAAGACTGTTTCTCTTTTTCTGCATAATCTTCATCTTATTCGATGTGTTTTCCTATAATTTTCAAATTGCTCTTCTGTCTGCTAATTTCTGTTTCGTTGATAATTTTCTCGTAGCAATGTTAGACGTACTTCTCTTTCTTCAGTGCTTTCATTTCCTAGCGGCATCTTATGCCTTTCAGGTATGATTCGCGACCGCAAAAATTCTTTCTTACGCTTTGGCATTGTGTTTTATATTTTTACTTATCACACTTCACTATTCACTTTTCACTATCTACTTTTTTCTGTTATTTGTACAGTTTTACATATGAAAATTAACTGAACCGTGTGCGTCACAGGTGTCCAAATGCCATCCCCACTACTCACACATAATAGTCCTCGACTATTCCAAAACAATTAAGAATAAAGATTAAAATCACATTATAGCCAATCTTACCTGTTTAAACAGAATGCAAGAATTAGGTCCCCCGTTTCCAGACTAACTAGAGAATTTACACCTGGGTCTAAAAACATGTTCGATTTCCTGCAAGAACGCAAAATACCGCATCTGCGCCTGTAAAACTTTCACGCCGCTTTCTCTCACCACTTCCATTTTTAAAACTTCCATTGTTAAGGAACACACTTCTTTTATCCCCCTGCGGTACCCTACTAAATATGGTAGCCTACTAAAACGCAGTCAACAACGCAAAAAATTGCATCTAGAAATAGTACAATAGAAGCCGAGTACTTCTGGCTAAGCCTTAACTTCCATCCCTTATATCTTCAACAGCACGATCTTCAGGTAAAAACAGGAACCTTCTTCGTGGATGGGGGATACAGGGCTACCACATCATATAACTCCATTGATCGTGCCGGGACTCGTTTTTGAGTTTTAGCGGCACGCACATTGTTAACTTACCTTTGTTATATACAGTAGAGTGTCGTTTATCCGAATCAATTGGGGACTGGAGTTGTTCGGGTAACTTATTTTTCGGATAACCGGTTTTGTACGAAAAAATATATTAACCTATCCGATGTTGAAAGTTTTCTCCATTGCGTGTCGCTTCGCATTGAATTTTCGTCGATGTTAAGCTTAACTTAAACTTTTTAAAATAATAACCGTGTATATTCTATCGTAAAAAATTATTTTTTTATTTTGTACAAACAAAATACATATATTATAAAATATAAAAACAAAAAATTATACTTTAGAAGTTAATCTAGTATCAAAAACGTTCGATTTCGCATGACCCACAGTCCGCAGAAAAATACCACACATAACTTAGTCAGTGCTACCAGCTAAAGCACACACATCAACAAAAAAAATTGGAGTAGCCCAAGATATAGCCAAAGATTGCAGCGCCGCAGCACTAGCGAAAATTTAAAATTGCTGACTGGAATGCTTTCGGATAACTGACGTTTCGGTTAATTCACTTTCGGATAACTGACGTCTCGTATAATTGACTTTCGGATAAACGACGCTCTACTGTATATTGATTAAAATTTTATTAAAGTACTTCATATATCAAATAACTTTAATTAGTTATTTAATTAATAAAACGACACATTCGAAATCATATTTTAATAACATGAATTGTTAAAAAATAATATTTAGGTAACAGTTTTTCATATTATTTTACTTTCTGAGTCACAAATGTTTTAACAGTACAATATTGTTTGTATTAATCTAAATCTATAATATATATATAATGTTAGTAATTTTCTGTAACAACATAATGCTGCTTTGCTATAAAATTTATCAATTACAAACAACAAAGCTGGGATTAGCAAAAACAACAAAGCTGGGGTGGGCCTGAGACTACAGCAAAGAAGTTCCACAAGGATTCGATTTTGGACGTAGACGTCGAGTTCAAAACACTTCAAAAGAAGTTCTGCATAAAACTTACATACAGTTGTAAACATTAAGGCTCGATCGATCCGTACAATTACAAATTCTCTACTTTTCGAGAACTTCTTAGAAAAACATTCTTGTATTGTGTCTGTTAAGTATACTTCGGAAGTATACTTTACAGACTCATAGAACTCAACAGAAGAAAAAAACAGCTACAACATTATTATTATTATTTATTAGCACAATGTGCCGCCTGGCTCCACAGGATACTAATACTGATGCAATAACATATAATTACAGAAGATATAAAAATTAACACAAAATGAAAGAATAATACAGTAGAACATAAAGCGATAAATATAAACAGACAGCGCTATGGCAAAGTACCATTTACAATAATACACATGACGAGCAGGGCCGCCGTAAGCGGGCGTGCAAGGCGTGCACCGCACGCGGGCGACACGTCCAGGGGGCGGCAAAGAGCCTTTCTGGCAAGCTCAGCATAGGTAATCGTAGTTAAACAGGGGGCAACATAATCGGTATTGCACACGGGCGTTCAAACAGCTAGCGGCGCCCCTGATGACGAGTAACAGTGCTGCCGATACATAGAAACAGTGAATGATATACAGTGATTAAGAGTAGTAACGTTACATGTATATACATTCAGNGCGGACCAATCCACTGTTCAATGTACTCGCGTCTACCTGTATTTTCCTGTTCTGCCAACACCCATTTTCTGTTATCAATATCTGTCGGTTTACTTGTATTGTATATAAAACCATCGTCGCGCAGCTCCTTTGTACATACCTGTTCACCATTGCACTGTTTGTTCCTCTGTTTATTGCATTTTGTATTCTGTTTATCTTCAATAAATGCGATGCAGGCGCCTGGAGATCTCAACTTTACCCTGCCCCACGCTCATCCCCTACTCTTCCCATGTCTCTTCCTTCCTTCCGTTCTTTACCACCTCCAGGTTGTACCTCTGAGTGTTGCCTGGAGGATTCCCCCTTTTTCAATTTAATGTAATGTAATGTAATGCCATCAGAAATCTCACATAGTGGGCAGAGGTCAGAGTCTCCAAGGGAGAAACGATATAAGTAACTAGTAAAACGTCCATGATCGGTAAAGAATTGGGTGTTCAAATAGTTAGGAATGAACCAGGTTGCGTTTCAGTGTCTTTGGTTGATGGGAAAAAGCAGAAGGTAGTCTTGTTGTGGTTGTTGCTCCGACGTTGCTGCCAGATGTTAATTATGTTTTCCCAAAGCTTGCTGAAATAAACAGCAAAGGGGAGTTTGTTGTCGGTGATAACGAGGGTGGTATCAACACCAGCAGACTTGGCGAGCAGGTCTGCACGCTCATTTCCAGGAATACCGTTGTAGGCTTTAATCCAACAGAAGGAATAATTGTTGTTAGAAGTGACAATAATTTCACATGTCGATGATGATAGG